CTCATTGGTCAACAGGCCCACAGAACATGTGACCTAGTGATCGAGAGAGACGTTTGAAAAATACCGTGTCTGGGGCGGGAGAAGCATCGGGACAAGTGTTGGCTTAGCAGATGTCCTGTGGCTCAGTGTGCACTTTAAAACCCTTGTTCTGTTTGTGGGGTGGAGGACAGCTGAGGGCGTGGTGAAAGAAAGCTTCCTGCGAGACTAGGAGACAGACTCCCTGGCCGACAGACAGACAGAGAGGACATGGCTAGGCAATAAGTAGCCAGCTTCTTCTTCACCCAAGACAAAAGCCTGGCACCTTGAAACAAAGGCCTCTAGGCCTTTGTTTCTCCCCAGCAGGCCTCCTGCAGGTGGACTGACTGACCTCACTCAGGGTCTTTCCTTAAACTGGCCAGCCTTAAATTAGGGGAGGGAAACGCTGTAGGAAGAGCTGGAGTTCTTTTCTTTCTGTGTGTCTGCTGCATGCGTGTGTCTGCTCACGCTACATGTGTGCTTCCTCACTCCTGGGATCTTCAAAGCTGCTTCTGTCTCCTGGTTGCTGTACCCAAGAGTTCTCCTCTGTAGACAGATTTTTCTTTGGACCAGCTCATAAATAATGACATGGAGACTTACTATTAGTTTTGAAAGCTTGACCTAAGCTTAGGCTTTTCCCAACTAGCTCTTATAATTTAACTAACCCACATTTTTAACCTACATTTTGCCTCGTGGCTCAGTTACCCCTGATCTGTACTGTGAGTCTGACTTCTTTAGAGTCTTGTAGATGGAGGCGGCCCAGACCTGAATAATCACACAGAAACTACATTAATGACAACACTGCTTAGCCAATAGCTTAGGTGTATTCCTGCCTAGCTCTTATATCTTAAACTAACCCATTTCTACTAGTCTGTGTATCACCATGAGGCTGTGGCTTACTGGAAAGGTTTCAGCAGCGGCATCTTTCTCCTTTGGCAGCTACATGGCATCTTCTTGACTCTGCCTACTCTCTATATATCTCTGTTTGGATTTCCCACCTGGCTTTACTCTGCTAAGCCATTGGCTAAAACAGCTTCTTTGTTAACCAATGGTAATAAAACATATTCACAGCATACAGAGGGGAATCCCACCTCAGAATCTCAGTGGTGTCGCTCTGCTTCTCTTCTTCCCAGAGTCCTTTCTGTCCCCAGAAATTCCACCTAACCTTTTCTTGCCTAGTTATTGGCCCTTTGATTCTTTATTAAACCAATAACAGCAATATCTCTTCACTCAGCAAACAAATATCCCACAACACTCTGTTGCCATCCGTTGTGCTCCAGATTTTTCCTGCTGTTTCATCCTTTAACTGAGAAAATGAACATTATCATGACCCTACCTAGACTAACATTTCCCATACTGGGTACAAGAGGGATGCTGAGATAAATTGTGGGGAACTCATCCAGGATGTGTCCCCCTTAAACCTTGCAATCAAAACTTTGCACTGGATTGGAGGGAAGGTCCCCTCAAGGGTTTATAATTTAAGGAAAGAGCGGGGGGGGGGGCATCCAGACCTCAGGGACACAGGCCAGGAAGTCCCCACCCAGTACTGGAGAAGATGCCAGAGCTTTGCAAGGGCTATGGAAGGCTGAAGAAATGGCACATTTGCTAGTCAGGGGATCAATCCTCCAAGACGGCCCATCAGTCCAAGGTCTCCATCTGCAGCCGCCAGCGGTTTTATGGAACATGGAGCAGGGCAGGTTCAGGGCCAGAGTTCCATGCGCACAATGAGGCCCCGAGATATGGCCTAGCGCTCCTAGCTGAGCAGCCTCCAGGAGCAGGAGCCACGGAACCGATGGACTGTATAGGACATGGACACTGCTAGGGAGTCCCCCGAGCAGGGAGGAATCAAGAAAACCCCGAAGCACTCAGGAACTGGCCACCAACTCCCCTCTTCACGTCCCAGCCTTCCCTGGAGCCCTAGACTTCCAGGGGCCCCCCTGATGTCACCAGTGGGACTGAAATGAAGATACTCCAAAGAGAAACTTGCACCCTTCCCTTTGGCCAGCAGACTCCTGAGACAATGGGCTTGAGAATCAGGGATTTTGCCAGGAATCTTAGGCCAGCAGAAGCAAAAGGCAAAGCCTGGTGCCAGCCAGGGCATGACTCTAGAACAGAGAATTTGCTCACACAACTTTTCCAGTTGGTCAGGCCATCTTGACCGAGAGGCTGGAGCTGAGCTGGTGATGGGCAGGACTGAAAGAAAGCACAGAAATCCTGGGGTTCGTGAGGAGGGAGGGGAGCCCCTCACCCTGGAACCTAGACGAAGCCTCTTGCCATCCGGAACACAAGAAACCAGCACAAATGAGAACCTCCTGCTCAAGTTCTTTCTGCCTTTCCAGCCGTAAACCTGCAAGTCCTCTAGGAATTTCTCCAGAACCATTCGGTGGAGGCCTTGTCCCAAACACCTTATTGTTTTCCTTCATTAGACTGGAATCTCATCTGTGGCAGCACCAGAGCCCCCTATAATTCAATTATCAAGAGAGATTAAGAACACATATAGGGGCTTGGGGGTTTCTTAGCAACCTCTTGAGATTTAAGCTGAAAACGGCCAAAGTTGAACATGTGGTCAACACTAATACAGCCAATTGCAAGTGTCCCTTGGGAAGCCTGGACAGTCACTAGCATGTCACTTTTCTGAGCCTCTTCTCTGAGAAGCCTACATTCTTACTTCTGAGAAATTCTCTCTTTCTTAACACACATATTTAAATTCTATATTAAACTATCTCTAATAAAACCCCTGGGGCTAGAGAGATGGCTCACTAGTTAAGAGAACTTCTTTCTGGACATCCACATGGTAGCTTGCAAGCAGGTGTTAACTCCAGTTCCAGAGGATTTAGCGCCCTCTTGTGGTCACTGTGAGCACTGCATGCATGTGGTACACAGCATACACAAGCAGACAAACACTAAACACATAAATAAACATAAATAGATCTTTAAAATATAAAATCTCCAACTCTGTTTAATATCATCTAGTCCTGGACTTATTTTCAGCCTTGAAACCATGGATCCTGGTTTGGCATCAAGGTCCCTAAAAGATTAGGGGAAACAGGCCAATGAGATGGATTAGTTACTGTACCAGCCTGCTGACCTGAGTTTAAGGTGGAAAGAGAGCCTCAACACCCAGAAAATTGCCCTTTGACCTTCATGCCCCTACATATACACACACACACACAATTAATTAATTAGCTAGTTATCTAATTTTAAGAAAGAGTAGGGGACCTCCTCAGGCTGCTGAAGAGGACAATATGGGGCTGTGTCTGTGTCCCCTCACCTCTGGCAAGACCACATTTTGACCAGGTTATCATATCTCATGCCCTCTGTTTAAACCTAAACTTAATGTCAATGCCCCAAGGATGACCGGCTCTCCTTACCTATTCTTCTCGGTGTGGCCATATTGATAAGGATCCTTATCTCTTGTTTGTTTACTTGACCTGTTAAAGATTGGCAGGGAAGCCTAGCCTGCTGGGGCCACTCTCGACTCTGGCACTATAAGCTGTGGGAACAGCTGAAGACTTCCCACAGACAAATGCCACCACCATTGCCCTACCTGAGCATCTAGCCATTGATTGGGGACCCCGGATAGTTGTCAAGGGGACTTCAGTAAGGGTGATATCGGAGGGAGGACGTGAGGGATGGACACACAGGCCTGGGGAAAACAGGGTCAGAGTACAGGATAGAAGTGGGAAACTCGGGAAGGAGAAGAATAGAGGCGGGCAAGAACCAAGGCAGGGCTGGGGTGAGGGCTCTGGCAGGAAGACAAACCCAGCTCTGCAGATGGGGGAGGGAAGAGTAGAGAAGGCTAAGAGCATGAGGACCCAAAGGAGCAGGAAGTAGCTGCAGGGGGAAAGCGACTGAGGGAGGCTGGGGGATAAGGGGGGGGGGGGCGGACCCCACTACAGACAGAGGGCACTGCTGTGGGGACTCGACCAGCCGTGTGCTGGCATCTGAATCCCCATGCACTCCCAGGCTCCATCCTTTACAAGCAGGTGGCCAGTCTGGCCTGTTTGTTTTTTAAACAACATTTATTGCTTTCTAACAATAAAGGAAATCAAAACAACACAGGGCAGGTGCAGCTCTGTGCGGATGGATGGAACAATGGGACCGGTGTTTCGGGACTGCACTTTCTGCATGCAGCACACAAACCTGGACGGTGTTCTCTTAGACTTCTCACCTCCACCATTCCTGGTAGGAGACATTGTTTAGCAGAGTCACCTTCATCACCTGTTGGAGCTGGCTGGTTTCCGGTCTTTTTTTTTTTTTTTTTTTTTTTTGGTGACTCTCGGGTATCAACCATTATAAAGACCACATTCATCCAGCCCCGTGGCCTGGCCACCACCCAGAGCCCTGAGAAATCCAAGCCCCAGGCCCAGTCCTCAGGAGGGCCCCCACTGGGTGGAGGACTCGGGGCCTGGGCTGCAGACTTTAGCCCACAACGTTCTGGAAGCCCCAGATCCTCTCACAGCCTGAGTCATTGCTGTCATCTGTCCTCCTCCCTCCTCCAAGGGGACAGGTGAGGTGACTCAAACCTGCTGCCTCAATGTTTTGCAGCTCCTTGGTGGAGAGGAATTTATGGCCTCAGTGGAGAGTCATTGCTATTAATCAACCATGACAGGGTGTAGCTGCTAAATCAGGGAGACAAAGCCTGGCTTCAAGTGCAGCTCACTCCGAGCCCTGCCATAGCAGCCCGGATCTGGCCTGAAGATGAGCCAAGCTCCGTTCTCACAGAGATGAGCTTCTGGTAACCCTGCTTTAGCTTTGGCGGGGATCCCAACCCTGAACTCCTCAGCGTAGCACAGCCAAGTCCTTGGGCCACAGTCCCCTCCTTCCCACCTCAGAGAAAAGGCCAGCAAGAGCAAGGATAGGCCAGGGGTTCGAGATGGAGCTGTGGCCAGGCCCATGTACAACTTCACATCAACAATATCCCAGCATTTGTGTCCCAACTGGATTCCCATATATAGGGGGGAAAAAAACCCAAGAACTGAGAATAAATAATTTATTGAAACTGGAATAAATATGTGGCATGGTTACAAATAACTGTAAAAAAGAACATAAACACACACACACACACACAGTCCTCAGTCCTCAATTGAGGGGCGGGGCCTCGCTGTGGAAGGGGCCGGGACTTCCCAGTTCTTCCTACAGGCCACTGGCGCCCCCCGGAGGTAGAAGACATATTTACAGCCGAAAGACCAGCAAGAGGCTGTTCTCCAGATCCCAACTAGGAGCTCCTGGTGTCCCCACGGTCCGCCAAGCGCCCGCGCAGCTGCACCCCTTGCACGATCCTCTGCACCCAGGGGCGGTGAGCTAGGAGGCTGGTGTAGACTCCGGGCCGGTTGCGCTCCGCGCAGCCTTCTCCCCAGCTGATAATTCCCGTCAGTAGCCAGGAGTCACCCACCTGGCACATCAGAGGACCCCCAGAGTCGCCCTGCAGAGAAGAAGGGAAGTCAGGCGCCCACACCGGCAGGCCGTGTGCAGAGCCCAGGCGTGCTTAGAGGATGCAGTACTGAGCCAAGCTGTCTGTGGAGGCCCTGGAAGAACAGGCCTTATGAACAGAACCACTTCTGGTGGCAGGCATGACCTCCCCACGACCACAAGGAGCAGGAGATGAGGCCACTTTTCATTTACAGGTTTAGAAAGTCTTTACACCAATTGGCAGTGTGGGCACTGAAGCCGGGCCATACATACACTGACCACCTCAGTCACGGGACTGGCCACAGAGGACAAAGGTTCTGACGCACCGGACCCTACTCAGAATACCAGCTGCCAAGCTAAGGCATTACAGCCGAGGAGTTCTGTACACAGCCCGTGTGTAAACAAGAAAATGGGTGACCCAGCCAAGCTAAAGGGGGCCCAGGCGGAGGTGGGAAAGGATGTCCCTCAGGAAATAGAAGTGATGGAGCTTTTGGGCCTCCCAGTTGGAGTGGGCAAAGGGTGGGCGCTCACCAGACAAGCATCCCGCTCCCCTTCCAGGTAACCAGCACACAGCATGTCCTCGGTGATGGCCTCTTGCCCTGCACCCCGCCAGTACAAGCGTTTGCAGACTTCGGAGTCAATGATGGGCACCTTCAGCTTCTGAAGGGTCTGAGGGCGGGGCAGGGGCACTGGGGACAGGAAGAGAGAGTCAGCTCAGTGCTTGCATCTGGTCCCCTCTACCCCCCAAGCAGCCTTCCTCAAAGGTAAATGAATACGCTCTACTGGGCTTTCCCAAGGTGTTTTCAGGAAACCCTAATCCCAGGCTCCCCACCCCTTGACCCAGTGAATTCAAACATGGATGCGCAGCCCTAGATTCTGTGCCCTCAATAAGCTTCCAGATGCCCACAGAGGGCTACACAGCAGAGTGGTGTTTCTAGGCTCAGACTCTAGTTTTTCCTACAAGGGCAGCGTGTTTGGTATTCCCCGAATTTCACCAAGCCCTCACCTTCCCTGGAGTTAAGGTGTAGATCCCAAGGGAAGACTGCAACTGCAGAGTTCCAGCATCTGCCCGTGCCTGAGCAATTCTTCTGGACCCAGGCTAAGGCTCTGCCCTGCTGTCTATACCCAGTTTCTCCTTCCTGGTCTCTACTGCGTGTTCTTTCATAGATCGTTTCTGTTCATTTGGGCTTAATCCAGCCTCTGTCTCTCTAGTTACCATCTGCCTTTCTCTACTTCTATATTTCCTCTGGTTTGTGGTTATAGATGGTATTTTCCATCTATAACCATCCATAACTGGTTTGAAAATTGTGGGGTTTTTTTTGGGGGGGTGGGTGATGAAGACTACATTACCTCCTGGGACTTTTGCTTGCAATTCATAGATGCTGCCACCAGGGGGTGACAATTCCCACTTGGAAGGCATAATGCTGATTATGTTTCCATCTTGTTCCCACTCCATGTCTACCCATTCTTGTGTCAAGAGCTTTGCAAATACCCCCCCCCCCGCGCGCAATAGGGTCTTTCTATGTAATTCTGACTGTCCTGGAACTCTGTAGACAGCTAGCTCAGAGAGGTCTGCCTGCCTCTGTCTCCCAAGTGCTGGCATTACAGGCATGGGCTACCATGCCTACCTTTTTCCTTCATTCCTTCCTTTTGTTGTTCTTGTTACTGCAAATCTCTATTGTTGCTTTAAAAGAGAGCCAGATTCCTTTCAGCTAGAGGTGACCTAAAACTGGCAGTTGAGTTCTTGTGACTTCATTTCTCTAGTCCCCAACTCATCTCTCCTCGTCTCTATAATGCACACATGGCCTCTACGCTCTCCTACCCTAGTATCCGCATCTGAGTGGCCTCTGCCCTCTGTCCCCAGCTATTCCTGACCTCTCTGAAGTTAGAGGGGAGCCTCACCTCCATCACGGATGCTGCCCCAGCCTGCAATCCAGCAGTCGGTGTTGGGAGGGAGCCGTACGGAAGAGTCGGGCAGGCAGATGGGCAGGATCCGCTCAGAGAATTGGATAGAGTGTTCCAGGCGCACCAGGGCAATGTCTGCACGGGTTCCTTCCCTCCAAGAATACCTAGGGTGGGGCAGCACCCAAGCAATACCCACTTGCTGGGACCTTGGGCCTGGGTTTTCCAGCTGCCAGGCCCCCAATAATACTGAGAACAGAGATGGCTTGTCCACGCTGCTGCAAGGAAAGAGAAAGATGTCAAGGAGAGAATGCCTGGCACGATGGCAATCGGGATCCCTGAACAACCCGGACAGCCCGGAGCCTGAGACAGGAAGCAAGGATGGGTCCTGAGGAATCAAGAGCAAACCTGATTGCACATACCTCTTGAAGCAGTGCGCAGCCGTGACCACCCAGCGGTTGGTGAGCAAGGAGCCTGCACAGTGGTGGGAGCCATTCTTGAGGATGCTAACAATCCAAGGCCACTGGGCATCCACGCTGTCCTCACCACCCACGACGCGGTTCAGCTGCTGAGGCTTGCCACAGTCTGGAGACACTGGCAGGAGGGATGGAGTTTCCTGTCATCTCAGCAGACTCAACTGTCTTCTGACTTGCCTGTCAAGCCACCTCCAGGCCCTCCAAGGTCTTAAGCCTGTGGCCCAGCATGGCATGTGTCCAGCACAGTGTTTATCACAGGTGAGTCCCTGCCCTGTCCCCATCCCCTTTAGCTACCAGGGCGCTGGCCCTTTCATTCCTCCCTCCAGCCCGTTAGCTGGCCTTCCCTCCACTTCCCTTAACCTTGATTTCTTTGGTTCTCTTGACTCTCATCCTCCTGTCCTTCCAGACTTTTCTCTTCCAGTTCATCCTCTTTTCTATACCCTGCCCCACGCTCGTGATCCCCATATCCCTTCTTCATCAGCATCCTCTGACCGCAGACCCCACTTCTGACTACCCCATAGAGTGACATCCAGAGACCGCACCCCCCACCCCAGCCTACTCACACTCACCTGGGATGTGGGCAGCACCGAGGGTAGCTGAGGGCAAGAGAGTAAAGAGGGTCAGGCCCGGTGGTGAGAAGCCCTGATCCCCATGCCTGGGGCATCCCCCATCCTCTCAAACAGACTCATCCTGAGCCCTCAGCACCGTTCCCACTCTCCTACCACCTCTCTCTCTCTCTCTCTCTCTCTCTCTCTCTCTCTCTCTCTCTCTCTCTCTCTCTCTCCCACACACACACACACACACACACACACACCACAGATAACTCCTGAAGCTCCGTTTGGAACAAACATTTTCAGACCCCTGCCTCCCAGCTCACCAGTATTTTCTCCACCTTCCTAAGAGTAGGAAGAGAGCTTGGGACACATACCGCCAGCACCCAGGCTTTCTCCCCAGCCCCCACGAAAGCCTGGGCAGCTGTCCCATTCCAGAACAGAAGGAGTAGACCCAAGATGGAAACCACGGAGGGGAAAACAGAAGCCGGAGGACAAAGGGAAGCCGCACTGACCAGATGGGAGAACAGCCCGGAGCAAGCACGGCGACCAGGACGCTCGCTCGCGTTCAGCTAGGGAAACTGAGGCACAGAGCAACGGCAGAGGCAGGGGACAGAGATAGAGGCACAGGGAAATGAAAGGAGACAATGGGAAGGAGAGCCCACACTCGAGGGAAGGTGCTGAACCAGGAGGCTGGCGAGGAGGAGGGGCTGTGGGCAGGAAGGAGGAGTGGAGAGAGGAGGAGGCGAGGAGCCGCAGGCCCCGGAGGCTCACCTGTGGAAGTCAGCAGCGCCAGAAAGATTGTGATCCTGAACTGGTCCCCACCCAGTGCGGGGGGAGATCTGGAAATCACCGCTAGGGGTGGAGCCCCAGCGAGGCTGCTGACCATCTCCAAGGACCTAAGGGCTGTGCTGGCTCTGACTGGCAGGGCAGGTGGCTGTAGTGTCGGGTTCCCTGCAGGTCGCCCCAGGTTTTATCCTGTGAGGAGGAATGCTGTTGGACCAGTCCCCCCAGCTGGTGACTGGGCCACCCAGACAGTGGGTCAGGGAGGAGGCGGGGCTACCAGGAGGAAGCAACCGGCTACTGGGGCTAGGGGCAGTAACTAGACGGGGGACTCAGGCTCAGGTTCAAGATGGGTGCCCAGGGTGCACCCTGCGAGGGGCAGTAGGGACATGTTAACTGCCCGGAGCATGGCTCTATCCTTGACTGTCTCGGGAAACAGAGATCCTGTCTGCAGCTTGCCGAGCGCTTGGGGTAGGAAGTGGCTCAGCCTGGAGTGGCTACAGCTGGGGCAGAGAGTGTTAGGAGCCCGTGGGACCTCAGGCTGGGGGTTGCCAGGGGGATCTTGCTCCTTAACGGCCCATGTCCAGCACCCTGCCTGCTTCCATGACTCAACCCAAACACTTGGGAGCCTGGAATCCCGTTAGCCCACTTCCCTGAAAGCTGTGACTCAGGCCCCAAGGGGGAGGGCATGATGGCCTCTTGGTCATTTGGCCAAGTTGTCCCTGGTACTTCCTCCCAGTTGTCACTGCAGGTGAACCTCAGTGACTCATTTCTTACCTGAACTCCAGGGAGCAGGCTAACTCTGAGCAGGAGCCATGGCCTGTGGCCCCCATACTTGGGAAGAATCACATCCTAGGACCCCATGGAACTAGGCTTGGGGAAGCTGGGGCACCGTGGGCTGATGTGAACTGTTATTGACTCAGTGTCCTGCCCTCCTCACCTCAAACAGAAACCCTCAACCCCCCCCCCCGCATGACACATATATATCACTCCGTCCAGTGTGAGTTTCTAGGGGCAGACCTGGTTGTGGGAAGAAGCAAGGCTGAATAAAAGCAATACCGCAGTCTGAGACTCTGTACCCTATGTTGTGTGTCCCCAAGTCCCCTAAAGCTAGCTCAGGGAAGTCAGTAGACTGGACACTGGGTCAACTTGAGAACTCGGTGTCCCCAGCAGGATCAGAGGTGCCTGACCCTCCCTGGCACAGGTCACATGCTCTGAAGAAAAGTGTGGGAACAGGAACAGTAACACTGCTCCTAGGGAGAGAAGGAGAGGTTGATCTCTTTCTGCCTCTGGGCCAGCCACAGCTCTCTTGGGAGCTCCCTGGCCTGTGTCTCCCGAGCTGACCAGAGCTGGCCCTGCAGGGCCCTGTGCTGCCCACCTCAATTGTTTAGACCTACATAGGCAGCAGACCCAGTTTGCACATGGCAAGGTGATGCAGGGCACTGTGGACTGGGGTGTGGACTATGGGCCATTGTGCGGAGAAGGAGGCAAGAGGCAGGTCAGGGTTAACCTGCAGGCAAGATGAGGCAGAGAGCCCCTGCCCCACCCCGTTCCAAACACACAAAACATGTGGCCTCAGGAACCCCAGTGGTTCATTCTTCTCCCTCCTGTGATTGTGGGTGTCACTACAGGAGCAGCCAAGATGAGGCCAGCTTCTCTACGCACCCATCCCCCAAAGCTATAGAACAAATATGGAGGAGCACTTGCCTCATCACGGGTCCCCCTCAGGGCCACTTCTGCACCTTCAGCTGCTCCCACACCTCCCTAACCCACCCCCTTGTGACACAGAGGGCCTTAGCCACCCCAGCTCATTCCACAAGCCCTGTGCTAGGTCACTGGGACACTCAGTGAGGAGTGGGGCTCGGGTCCTTCACCCAGGAAACTCACATCTCTTAGGGGTGGGAAGCAAGGTGAGTAGTTAGCAGCGAGGTGGGCAGTAGCATGGACCTTGATTTGTGCCGTGACTCCCTGAGGGGAAGGAAGGGTGCCTCCCCCAGCCATTCTCAGACCCAAGTCTGTTGCCCGCTGCACACTGGGTTTCAGTAGATGTTTGTTGAGTGAATAAGTGATTGTAGAAGATAAGAGAGGCTAGAGACCAATACCTGCAGCCTCCTGCCTCTGCATTTCCTGAGTCATTGCCCTGGGCAACTAAGAGGCACGTCCCCAGAATGTTGCCTCCTTTGAGATGGGTGGCCAGAAAGAAGCCCCAACACAAGGGCTCTGTGGGAGTCAGAAGAAGTTTAAGAAGCTAGATGGAGATTTTGTGCTACAAGCTCTGGAAGAGACTCACTCCCTCCCCAAGGGCCAGCTCTCTAGTTCCTAGGATGTGAAGAGCCAGCCCCTGAAGAACAGGGATGGAGCCCCTGGCATGAGTCAACATTCAGCAAAATATTTACTGCGGGCCTCCATGTACCAGACTCACACCCAGCATCCCAGCTGGGCATCTTCACGCTATGCAAGAGATAGATGAGGTACCCAGCCCTGCCACCCACACGGCAGTCCTTGCCAGCGTGCTCAGGGATACCAGCCAATTCACACTGAGGTGTTGATGTCTGATAGGGCTGCAGGAGCATTTACATGCTAAGGGCAGCTGGAGCTGGCGATGCTGAAGCCAAAACCATGACTCACCAGTGGTGGCGGTTGGGACGTGGGTATGGGAGTCAGGGGACATATTCCGAGCAAGGTTATCCTGCAGGGCACCGCCTCCTCCTTCTGGGGCTCACACTATAAGTGCCAGGGTTATGGAAGGAAGTAAACCACAGCCTAACAGATGAGTTAGCAGGCATTACTGAGCAGCAGGGGTGGGGGTCACGGAGAGGGACCCTGACCTTAGTGACAAACTGAAATGATACCTCCCCTGGTGGCTCAAATGGAATTGAAAAGTAAGGGAATCCTCCAGGGGTGATCTCATGCCTGTAATCCCAGCACAGGGGAGGCAAAAGCCGGAACATCATCTCTGCAGATGTGAGGCCAGCCTAGGCTACAAAGCGAGTTCTAGACAAGCCTGGGCTACAAAGGGAGAAGCTGTCTCCAAAGGGTGTGAAGTTGGAGATGTAGCTCAGTTAGTAGAATGTTTAGCTTGCACAAAGGCCCCCTTCAATCCCCAGCATCACATGAAACAGGACACGGTGTCACATGCCTGTAATCCCAGCACTTGGAAGGATTGAAGAGACTCCGGGTGATCCTTGGCTACATGGTGAGTCCAAGGGCTACATGAGAACCTGACTCAAAGAACACAACAAAGCAAAATAACAAGTCGCTTGTTCTCGTGGATGTTGGGAAGTTCCCAGTTGATTTAAGTATCATTATATCACCAACGTGGGCCAGTCCTGTGAAAGAATCAACCAGCAGCTTCATGGCCTCATGAGAAAAGGCTGAATGGGTAAGATAGGCTGATGGCCTTGCAGGATGTGATGGTTAATCTTAATTGGCTGGCCTGGAATCACCTAGGAGACATGTCCCTGAGTAAGTCTGTGGGGTGGCTGGACTTGGAATAGCCTAGGAGACACATCCCTGGGTAAGTCTGTGAGGGGTTTCCATAGTCGTTTAACTGATGTGGATGGCGCCATCCCACAGTCTGGGGTCCTAGATTCCCTTGTTACTTCTTCATCAATGTGATAAAATACTCTGACAAAAGCAGACTTGAAGGAGAAAGGGTTATTTTCCTTCACAACCCATCAGGGAGGGAAGTCAAGGCTGCGGGTGTGGGAGTAGGTCACATGACACCCACAGTCTGGAAAGAGGGGACGGGGTCCACACTAGTGTTCATCTTATAGAGTCCAGTCCCAGCTAAGATGGGTCTTCCCACATCCATTAATGTGACTGAGATAACTCCCCAAAAGCACGCTCAGAGGAACATCGCCCAAGTGATTCCAGATCCTGTTGGGCTGACAGCACAGACGAGATTAAAGGGGGAAAAGAGGGAGCCACTGATCATCAGTAGCCGTCTCTGCTTCCTGGTTCTGAGACCCGCCCAGCTGCCTCCTGCTCCTGCTGCCTGCCGTGCTTCCCCAGGCATGAAGGAAATCCAAATCCTGTCTATCCCCTCCTTATAGGGTTCCACTAGAATCCAAGATGTGGAAGCAATGAGTTTACTTGGCTTCCTTACAGATCACGGATGAGGGTTGCTTCACAGGAGCGTGGATGACTCCATAGCAGCCACACCTCCGGAAAGTCTCAGCCTGCATGGATGACGACCGCCTCCCAGCTTCATAGAAAGAACGCCCCCTCCTCATTAACCTTCCCACTCCAGCACCGAAGGCCACATGCAATTAGGGCAGAGTTACATACAAATGGCCAGACAGTGCAGGAGAGCAGCTGGACTCGCGGGTGAAGGTCTAACGACCCTGCCCACCCCCTCCTTCTATAAAGGAACATCGACAGCCGCCAAGCCTGTGCTCAGAGCCTCTGACAAGTGGTCACCGCTGTGCCGACGAAGACGGTGGCAGTCACACTCTGTAGTGTGAGTATTCTGTCACAGAAAGGGAAAAGAACACAGAAAACTGGTACCAAGGAGAGGGCCATCGCTGTCCAAATCTGCCCGTGTGGTCTGCAGGCCTTTGCACTGGCCTGTGAGAGGAGTGTGCAAGATTTGGTGCGGTGACCTCGAGAACCCTTAGAATATTATCAGCCTGATGGGCCATTCTGCTGAGAGTCCAGACTGCCCAGAAAACCACGTGACTAGGAAAGGTTGGGCTCATAAAATTCCAGAGGAGAATATGACTACTCAGAACTGGACTATAGGCCGCCATTCGTGCTATCCTCTGGCAGAGAAAGGCTTCATTCTTGACTTCAAAAATAACGGACTAAGTTGTTCAGTAGAGTGAACATAGCTCTAAGCTGCAGCATGGCTGCTGCCCCTGCTTTTAATCAATTCCACCATGAGAACGTCCTAAATGCAAGGGAAATGTGCAGTTTGGTAAGGAGAGGAGCGGGAGTTTAAAGATGCAGGAAAGATGGGTGCAGGAAGTCGCTGTAAATGTAACTAGATTGGCACCATTACAGAGAAACTCTGACCTCTGACCTCTGCCCCGAGACAGTAGCACCTGCCAGGAAGACAAGACAGAAAGAGCCTGGATTAAGAACTGAAGGGTTCCCTGCTAGAAACTGCATAGGTAGTGTTTTCTCAGGCTCAGCTGACGAGGCTCACAGAGACCAGACTACACGCTGAGGTGGGATCAGCCCTTCACAATGGCATCTACGTAACACCCAGATCGTGGAAGCTTACACCAGGGTTCCAGATCACTGAGGCCGGGCAATGTGTGTCAAGGTTGACTTCCTGGCAAGGAGGCTATTCTATAGAGCTATGAAAGTGAACCCTAAATTGTAGGGATCCTAGGGCGGTGATTCTCAACTTGTGTGTCGCAATTCCTTTGGGTCCAATGCCCTTTTCACAAGGGTCACATATCAGATATTCTGCACACCAGACATTTACATTACAGTTCATAACAGTAGCAAAATTACAGTCATGCAGTAGCAACCAAATTAATTTTATGGTTGGGAGTCACCACAACATGAGGAACTGTATTAAGAGGTCGCAGCATTAGGAAGATGG